CTTGGTTTGATCTCAAGTGGTTGTGGAGTGTGTGTGTGTTTTGTTGGAGAATATAGATTGAGTTGCTTGTTTGGCATTTTTCCTTTGCCCTGAGGTTTATTTAGCTTTGGAATCCCCAGAACCACTTATAGACAAGGAAGAAGTTAGTCAGCCTAAAATGTCAGGAAAGACTATGGTCTCGTGATTGAGAATGCATGTGTAAACATGTCTTCAAACAGTGGTCTACTCACACATGATGTCTGTTCATACATGATGAGTGGCAGCTCCCTCTTGCTGTCCGTGTTTTTTGGATATTCTTCCTGGAGTAGGATTTTCTTTGCATTTCACTCAGTTTAGTAATGGATTATTATAAAGTATGCCATTTGTTCTGTTATTTTCGTGTCATACTGGTTTTTATTTTTTTCTTCTCTCCATTTTTAAATTATTATTTCATATTGGTTTTAAATGTTTATTGGCTTTTAAATGTTAGTGACTGTTGTAGCCCAGCTGGTTAAGACATTGCTTGAGACACCCACATTTCATGTGGAATGCCTGTTGGAATCCAAGCTAGTCTGCACTTGTGATCCAGCTTCCTGTTAATATGAGAGGCAATACTTGATGGCCAAGTACTTGGGTTCCTTCCGCCTATTTCTGAGGCCTAGCATGTGTGATGCCAGACCAAGCTGCAGGCTCTGTCTTCACCCTGTCCTAGCCCCAACTTTTGAGGTCAATTGAGAGAGAACCAGGATATGCAAAATCAATTAATGAATCAATCTATGTATCCCTCCCCTATCTCCCTGCCTCCCCTTGTTCTTCTGCCTTTCAAATAAATAAATAAAGTTTACTTTGAAATATTTACACATAAGGAGACTTGGGACCTTTTCCCCCTCAGTGGCAATCTGAGAAGTTCTGTGTTCCATGGACAGATTTGTCCCTTCATTGGAGCTGATCTTCCACACACTCTTAACAGAAAAAAGCTCCCCCTACCTGAAAACTGGTCTAGCATTTTTCCATTTGTTGTTCTAGAAACTTTCCTTTTTTCTGTTGAATTCTCTCTTCCTCTGAAAATCCCTGTCATTGGCTGCATAGCCAGAGTTCCCTGTCCCATCTCAACCTACACCTCCTTCTGTGCCTGACCAACTTGGTGTTTACAACTTCATGAAGGTGCTATTAATAGGTTTCCTGTTAGTCATTGCTGGACCATGCTTTATGGATTGACTAGATTTAGTTTTTCCTAGTTAAGGGAGTTGTTCTAGTCCTCTGATAGTTATTTGTTTTTCTCTACCATGTCTCACAGATTTCCATAAGCTGATTTAAAAATACACGTGTCATATCTGTCCCACTGTGGTATGTTATCTACCTCCCCACTCTCCTTGGTTCATGTCATAGTAGATTAAATGTTCATTTGCTTATCAGAATACAGAACACACAACTCTCTTGGATTTGAATTCCCTCACTCTGTTTCAAATTTCTTGTCAAAGATTTACATATTTTTATTGGAAAGGCAAACATAGCAAGAAGAGACAGAAAGATCTTCTGTCTGCTGGTTTACTCCCCAGGTGGCTGCAACAGTCGGAGCTAAGCTGTTTCAAAGCTACAAGCCAGGAGCTTCCAGATCTCCCACAGGAGTGCAGGGTCCCAAGACTTTGAGCCATCTTCTGCTGCTTTCCCAAGCCACAAACAGGGAGCTGAATGGAGAGTGGAACAGCTGGGTGCCCATATGGAATTCCGGCACATGTAAATCTGACTTCTAGGGAACAAAATATCAAATATTAAGAAACACCCATAAAATGATTAATGATACAGGTCTCTCAGTTATGAATTCATGTTGTAGCATGTCCTCAAGCTTGGACAGCACAAGGTACCAACTTTTGGTTAGGATAGCAGTTCCCTAGTTGCATACTATATTTTTTAAGTATATTGAGCCATAATTTGATCCCCCAGGCACTGGTTGTCCTCTTTTTCATTAATTCTCCTAACCCTTCCTTTGTTCTCTAAATTAAACTTTATTTTCTTTCTTCCTTCCTTTCTTATTCTTTCTTTTTTCTTTTAAGGGTATATTTATTGTGTTTATTTGAAAAGTAGAGTTACAAAGAGAGGAGTCTCTCCCACTGCTTTACTCTCCTAGTATCCCTAACTGTGAGGGTTTGGCCAGGCTGAAACCAGGAACTTTTTCTAGGCCTTCGATGTGGGTATAGGAATGAAACAACTTGGAAGCTGGATCTGAACCAGTGCCCTTTGGCCTTGCAGTTAGTGGCTTAGCCCACTACTCCACGATGTTGTCCCCAAAGTAGAATGTCTTAAAATTTTATATAACTGTGAAAGTCTAATATATCCTGTCATCAGGAATGCCATGTCTGAATAAGTGGCCTTTGTTGTGTGCTTTTACATCTCAGGGTTATGAATATATTGAGAATCAGTAATGAGCTTTCACAATGACAGTTTATTTGGCTAACATTTCACACTGTACTCCTCAGTTTCTAACCTATGTAGAAAACTGTGGAGTTGGTCCAGCCTGATGGCTCAGTTGGCTAAATTCTCACCTTGCACGTACCAGGATCCCATATAGAGCCTAGTTTGTATCCTGACTGTTCCACTTCTCATCGTTCCCTTCCTATTGTCTAGTAAAGCAGTAGAGAATGGCACAAAGTCTTGGGGACCCTTCACTCACATGGGAGACCTGGAAGAAGCTCCTGACTCCTGAATTCAGATTGGCTTAGCTCCAGCCATTGTGGCCACTTGGGCAATGAAACAGTGGATGGAAGGTCTGTTCTTTTTCTCCTTCTCTCTGTTTATCTGCCTTTCCAAGAAAAATAAATAAAAATCTTAAGAAAGAGAAAAAAAAAGAAGAAATGAAAACTGAGAAGTTGGGGCCAGTGTTGTATCACAACAGGTTGTGGTGCCACCTACAATACCCAGCATTACATTTCATAGTGCTAGTATTAGTCCTGGCCATGATAATTCTGAGTGATTATGTCTCATGTTAAGGCCAGACATAACAGCACCATAAAAAAGAGGAGCTGGTTGGACACACTTTTAGAGAGATAAAAACCTTGAAAATGCTGTTATCCCCTTCACAGATTCAACCACAACTGAATTCTGGAAGGAATAGCAGAAAAGTTAACTCCATCTTTAAATGAAGAAGCCAATAAACTACTTAGAAATAGTGTTGCGTCTTGGAACCTGGAACACAGAGAAACAGTTTTAAGAAAGATGACTCATTCCTTAAAATAGTACCCATAAAGTCATTGGAACGCCCAAAGAAGATAGTCAGTGATTAAGCAGGGACTTGGACCAGTTGTATAGGCAGTGCAGCGTCTTGTTACTAGTGTACGGTGTGGCAGGTTCCAACTTTGTGAAGTTGCATCCAGCCCAGCCATTCACCCTGATCTCAAACTCTTTCATATTTAAGGTGGTAGGTAAACCTAGGGTTTTTGTGAAAATTCAGTAAGATGACTGTCAGTCCCACACTGGTGCTTTATAGAGTTTAGCCTTTACTGTTTCTAATAAGGATTGGTAATGGGAGAATAGGGATAGGCAAAGGGGACAGTCAGCTATGAAACATTCAGTGAAGCATTCCAGGTATTCCTGGAATCATCAGACCTTGAACTGAACTAAAAAGGTCAAGAAAGAAAGCTTACAGATTCTATTTCAGAAAAACAACTTGTGTGAGAAAAGGTGTAATATAAGTGAGCAACACTAAAGAAAGGAAAGGAAGAGTGTCTGGTTTAAGGAGTAACCGGAAGTGAAGTTGGCTCACTATAGCAGGGTCAGATTATTTAAGGGAGTTTGGGCTTGATCTGTTCATTGCATAGACAGGTACCCAAGGTATGCTGAACAAGAGAGACAGTTTTGGGAAGCTCACTGAGCTGACAGCACTAATAATACAGACAAGTTGATCAGAGCCGGCTCCAGGATGGTGACTGTGGCAATGTGGAATGACAGACTCATTTGAAAAAGCACTGGCAGAAGAGGGTGATTTTGATTGGCTGTAGAGAAGGATACTTGATCTGGGAGAATTGGGGGCTGGGATTCTCTCATGAGACATTTTTGCTGTGTTAGGCACCAGTCTTAGGGCCCAGTCCCACTAAGTAATGTTACATTTTGTTTGCATATTGTTTAGCAAAACCAGAAGTAGGACCCGGCATGGTGGCCTTTGAGGCTAAAGTCCTCACCTTGCACACACCGGGATCCCATATGGCCGCCAGTTGTAATCCCAGCAGCTTCCCATCCAGCTCCCTGCTGTGGCCTGGAAAAGCAGTCGAGTATGGCCCAAAGACTTGGAACCCTGCACCTGCGTGGGAGACCTGGAGGAGGCTCCTGGCTCCTGGCTTCAAAACGGCTCAGCTCTGTCTGTTTTGATCACTTGGGGAGTGAATCATTGGACAGAAGATCTTCCTCTCTGTTTCTTCTCCTCTCTGTATATCTGACTTTGCAATAAAAATAAATAAATCTTAAAAAAAAAAAAAAGAAGAAGAAGTAACTTCCAGGCAATCCTTAACATTCTGTCTTTGAAACTGACGGAACAGGAAATGACCCTATTGATAGCAGCCTGAGAATGCCAGGAAAGCCTGCCTGTCAGTGTCTTTCCAAGGTAGCTCCAGCGTTAATGGGAAGGTCTTCCCTCACCACCTCCCCATCCCAGACCTGCCACTTACTTAGGCTGTACGATTGTAGATGAATTATCCAGATCCTGTGTTTCAGTCTTTTCATCTGTAAAATGGCAACTGCTCCAAGTTAATCGTTCGTATTAATGTATTGCAGTATTAATGTACTAAGAACTAAATGTTTATTATTACTACTACCTCTTTAAAAATGGAAACTGAAAACAGCAAACAACATGTCTCTTACTGCCTTTGTCTTCTGGGTAGTGATATCTTTGCATCTTAATGCTATGAATAAAAATTTTAACATTATAGCCACCAAGCCACACAAACAGATACACAGTCAGGTTACTCTCAATTTCTAGTCCTACGCTGATAGTACTTGTATCATTTTTTATTCTCATCCTGTCTGTGTAGGTGATTTTCTATGACAGTGACTGGAACCCTACTGTGGACCAGCAGGCAATGGACAGAGCCCACCGCTTGGGACAGACAAAGCAGGTGACTGTGTACCGGCTCATCTGTAAAGGCACCATAGAAGAACGTATTCTACAGAGAGCCAAGGAGAAAAGTGAGGTAAGCACAGAGGTTGAGGCCAAACAGAAGGGAGGAGAGACTTGGAGATGCAGCACTACTGACTAGTTTAAGGCTGTTGAAAACTCTCTTGCCTTTCACTGACTTTGGACAAACTAGAATTGGTCTGACTAGAAAATAGAGTTGGGGCCTAATAATAACTGTTTTGGCTGCCCCAGCCATTCCTCACTTCCTTTCCAACAGCATGATGTCCAGAGCTTGTTCAACTGTCATTCACATGGAATGACGGCAGTAATGGCCCTGAAAAAAGCAGGCTTGATGTAGACCCATTGGCAGAGGAAAAGAAATGGTCCTCTCTTCCTAATGCCCTGTGCTGATCTGCCTCAAAATTGTATATCAAGACTATACTTTTGGGGCCCGGCGCTGTGGCTTAGTGGCTGAAGTCCCACTAAGGGACTTAAGGATCCCGTATGGGCGCCAGTTCTAATCCTGGCAGCTCACTTACCATCCAGCTCCCTGCTTGTGGCCTGGGAAAGCAGTCTGCACCCTGCACCCGTGTGGGAGGCCTGGATGAGGTTCCTGGCTCCTGGCTTCAGATTGGTGCAGCACCGGCCGTTGTGGTCACTTGGGGAGTGAACCATCGGACGGTAGATCTTCCTCTCTGTCTCTGCTGCACACTGTATATCTGACTTTGCAATAACAATAAAATAAATCTTTAAAAAAAAAAAAAAGACTGTACTTTCAGGGATCATTTCTAAAGTTCTTAGTGAGAAAATTGTGTATCATGTGCCATAGCTTCCAAATCAATGATTATTTTGCTCTTTTTCCATCCTTCATATTGTCAAATTTTCCATCTATCGGTTAACCTTCAGGCAAGAAGCTCATATTGTCCTCTCTGATGGACAGGGAGAATGATCTGGGTAAATTAGTCAGATGAAAGACAAGGAAGTATGGAAACCAGACGACTCACCTTGGGAATGAGTTGAAGGGGATGTTTCTGGATATTGGCTGGGAATGAATGGCTAGAAGTGACATTTTGATTTGCTTTGGTATAGATTCAGCGGATGGTGATTTCGGGTGGAAACTTCAAACCAGATACCTTGAAACCCAAAGAGGTGGTTAGTCTCCTTCTAGACGATGAAGAGTTGGAGAAGAAGCGTACGTACTCTCAGCCTCCTCTTGCTCACCCCTCTCCAGCCCCATACTCCTGAGAATGGAAGAGGAAAAGGGGAAACATTTGGGGAGAAAAAGTATTATATTAGTATATTCTTTGAAAACTTGAAGAAATAATGTATTGTGGAATAGCAGACAAAATTTATAGCTAAAGACATTTTTTTTTTTTATTTGAAAGGGAGAAAGAGATCTTTCATCCACTGGTTCATTCTGCCAAATGCCAACAGATAACACAGCTGTGCTAGGCCAGTGCCAGGTGCCAGAACTCACCCTGAGATCCCTATATGTGTAGCAGAGACCCAAGTACTGGAGCTTATCACCAGCTGCTTCTCAGGGTGCACATTGTGTAGGAAGTTGAAATCTGAATCCCACACTCAAATAAAGGATCCAAAAATCCCAGATAATGTCTTAACTGCTGCACCAAACACCGACCCCTGTATGCATTTCAGAGTAAATACACTCCAGATAAACATTGCTTACATGAGGAAGACAACATCCTCCTCCAGCAATAATGAAGCTGGACAAGCACTGTACCCCAACCACACAAGCCCTTTTCTCCTGGTTCTAGCTTTAGAGAACATGGCATTTCAGCTTCATCCTGCAAACCTCTGAGCACACCCACAGCATCACAGCAGACAATGAAAGACTGAAAAAGGAGAAGCAAGACCCATAATAATTAATCTGAATCATGACTTGAGCCCTCCTTCTCCAAGTCACAAACATGCCAGTTACCTGCCTTAAACAAATAGAAGTCGTGTCCTGACCAAAAAACAGCAGGGAATAGGCCACCTGGATTGCGGAGGATGGTGATTAAGGTTGCCATAGGCACTTCATTGGGTTGTTGTTTTATTTTTTTTGGTAGTGAGACTGCGGCAGGAAGAGAAACGTCAGCAGGAGGAAACCAACCGAGTGAAAGAGCGCAAGCGCAAGCGGGAAAAGTACGCAGAGAAGGTATCTCCAGCCTGGGGAGGCATAGGGGGCTTACAGAAAGGCTCAGGGCCTAGAACTTGTCATCTTGCCTGGTGATTGGTAATCACTGTAGTCATGTGTAATGATTAGCAACAGTCCAGTGCTAAATCACCTGTTGGAGGGTCACAGTTCAGTTACTGAAACCATATGTCAAGGCTACATGTGAGTGGTTCGATGCTCTGTCCATTAGTTTCTAGGTTCTATAGACCTTTGGCAAGGGGCTCAGATATCATGAGGTCCATTCATTCTACCGTAATTCTGCTTACATTTAGTGTCATATCCTGCTACAAAAATCAATCTGCCAATCTGTTCTGTCTGTTGTATAACTACATTCTCCTATGTCAATCCTATTACTTACTAGTATTTAAAATAAAGGTGGGGGGTGAGGGCTATGTTGTTGCCTAGTCAACAAAGCCACCACCTACAGCACTAGCATCCCATGTGGGAACCAGCTCATGTCCCAGCTGTTCACTTCTAGTCCATTTCCTTGCTGAAGACAGCAGAAGAGGGTCAAAGTAACCAAATCCTTACACACCCATGTAGGAGACCCAGGTGAAGCATCTAGCTTCAGCCTGGCCCAGTCTGGGCCATTCCAGTCATGTAGAGTGAACAAGCAGGTGAAAAATCTCTCCTCTGTATCTTTCCCTTTCTAATTCTGACTCTCAGATAAATCAATCAATCTTTAAAGAGCAAATAAAATAACCAGCAGGTATTGTAGTCCTACAAGGGTGAGCCCACATATCTCCCATAGAATCTGCCCCCAGAAGCATTTCTCTCACGTGCCACTTAGTGTCATGGTCCAGCCTAACATGTCCCATCCATTATTCCAACACTCACTGGCTGGTACTGTGGTCCAGCCCTACCAGATGCCGATCTGGCAGCCCTAGCTTTCATGTGTGGCTGTGGGTGCTAGGTGGCTGACAGCGATGGTCAGTGATAACTAGCCCAGCTCAGGTCTCACACATGGATGGGTACATTGGTCTAACACAGAAAGGTCTTCCAGTTTTCCTCCTTCAACCCACTTGGTCTCAGCCCCCTCGCGTACCTCCAAGTACAGTGGCCTAGTCAGTGTGAGTCCCCCAGAAGTCATTCCTCACCTGCAGTGTGCTCCCTCAGCAGTACCCCTCTCCCCAACATCTCCATACCCTCTTCCCTGAGCAATCCATGGCCCCCAGTGCTATGAACGCAAACTTTAAGGTTCATAAGCCCAGTCTTCTAGTGTGGTGGTGGGGTGGGTTGCTTACATGGGGCCCTGCACACTTACCCAGGACCCAAGAACATGCGCAGGTTCCCAGACCTGGTCAAGCAGCCTGCCTGCCTAGGACACTACCCCTCTGCCACTCATTTGGGAGATCTGGATTGATTTGCCAGCATCACCTTTGGCTCAGTCCTAGGTGAAGCAGACATGTGGAATAAATAACGCCCCCACTGCCACTTGTATTTCCTGCTCCAAACTTCTCTTTTTTAAAAAATTATTGACTGATTTTAAAAGTGTAAGGTCTGGGGCCCGGCGCGGTGGCGCAAGTGGTTAAAGGTCCTCGCCTTGCACGCCCGGGATCCCATTTGGGCGCCGGTTCTAATCCCGGCAGCCCCGCTTCCCTTCCAGCTCCCTGCCTGTGGCCTGGGAAAGCAGTCGAGGATGGCCCAAGGCCTTGGGAACCTGCACCCGCGTGGGAGACCCGGAAGAGGCTCCTGGCTTCGGATCGGCATAGTATCTCGGCCCGTTGCGCTCACTTGGGGAGTGAATCATCGGACGGAAGCTCTTCCTCTCTGTCTCTCCTCTCTGTATATCCGCCTTTCCAATAAAAAAAAAAGTGTAAGGTCTGGGCCTGGCATCATAGCCTAATACTTAAAGTCCTTGTCTTGAATGTGCCGGGATCCCATATGGGCACTGCTTCTAATACTGGTGGCTGCTTCCCACCCAGTTCCCTGCTTGTGGCCTGGGAAAGCAGGTGAGAATGGCCCAAAGCCTTGGGACCCTGTACCTGTGTGGGAAACCTGGAAGAGGCTCCAAGCTCCTGGCTTCGGATCAGTTTAGTTCCAGCCGTTGCATCCGCTTAGGGAGTGAATCGACAGATGGACGATCTTCCTCTCTGTCTCTCCTCCTCTGTATATCTGATTTTGCAATAAAAATAAATAAATTTTTAAAAATCGCAGGGCCTAGCACGGTGGCTCAGAGGCTAACATTCTCACCTTGCATGCACTAGGATCCCATATGGACGCCAGTTTGTGACCTAGCTGCTCCACTTCCCACTTGGAGAGTGAATCATCAGACAGAAGATCTTTATCTCTCCTCTCTCTGTGTATCTGACTTTCCAATAAAAATAAATCTTTTTTTTTTAAGTATGTACTTATGGCTTTATAGTATTCAGAAAGAGTACCAAAGATGAAAAGGTGGTCCTCCCACAGGGTCTTAAGGTTTGCTTCAAATGTCTTCCCTTCCCTGTGCTAAATGTAGAAAAATACATGCCCAGTGATAGCAGAGGTAACCTCTAGGTATACATACAGGTGCCATAGGCAGATAAGATCCTAGGGATAACCAAGCATATTCTGTCATTCCAGGTCCTAAATTTGCCACACAGGCTTATTGAACTCAGTATCTATAGCTACTTAGTCTAGCTCAGCTGCTCAACCCATACAAGTTTCTGTGGAAATTACAGAAATAATGAAAAAGCAATGCACTATTTTTGGAACCCAAGACTCTTCATTCTCCTTGTATTTACTATAAACACATGGAATGATCACACACATATATTTTCTCAAATTTGCTGTGAATCTACAAATACTGTAAAAGATTTTATTTGTGCAGCATGTGTGGCACTGCTTATAAGTCACTTAGAATGCCTGCATCCCGTAGTGGAATGAATAGTATGAGTCTCAGCTGAGCCCCTCTGCCCACAACTCAGCTTCCTCCTAATGCGCATCCTGAAAGGCAACAGAAGATGGCCCAAATACTTGGGCCACTGCTACCCACATGGGAGAGTTGGATACAGTTTCAGGCTTGTTTAACCCTAGTGCAACCTTAGCTACTGCAGGCATTTAGGGGTGAACTAACCCCAACCTCTCTCTCTCCCCCCCCCTTCTCTCCCCATAGTTCAGCATTTCAGGTGAATTAAAATAAGTTAGTAAACAGGTTTTTAAAAAGAGATGTAAAGCGAAAACAGTGAAACACTGGCTAGGTGCAGACATTGTGGTGGGTTGGGCGAAGATGCTGTTTCCTATAGCACTGGCACCACAAATGCTCTGGTTCTATTCCCAGTTGTGCCACTTCTGGTCCAGCTGCCTGCTGTTGACCTGCAAAGGCAGAAGATGACTCAAGTGTTTGGGGTCCCACCACCCACTTGAGTCTACCCACCACAGGGAAAACTGGATGAAGCTCCTAGCCCCTAGCTTCAGCCTGGCCAAGTACTGGCCATTGAGGCCATCTGAAGAGTGAACCCACGGTTGGAAGATCTCTCTCTTCCCTGCTGTCTATAACTCTTCCAAAAGAAGTAAATGTTTTAAATAATAGTAAAATAAATTGCTTTCCCATTTGTGGGACTGCAGTCATTAAGGTTGTGTGCTGCTTCCTGGGTGTCCTAGCTGGCTGTCCCTTCACCCTTGAGGATCTGGCTTGGAGTGGCTCCAATTCAGTTAAATTCCACTTCCATTGTTGTGACCAAATACATATGAAATCTTGTTAACTTATCCCTCTCCTTCCTTACATGTGGTGTTTCTTCTTCATAAATGTGCTCATTGAGAAGTTTACAAAGTCAAAAAAAAAAAAAACTTCTGCCATCTTTTTCCCCTGGCCCACATTTTGTCTTGGAATGTGTTCTCATGCCTTTTTTTTTTTTTTTTTTTTTTTTCATTTTTCCTGATCTGTGTGTTCCCAGAAGAAAAAGGAAGATGAGTTGGACGGGAAGAGAAGGAAAGAAGGCGTGAACCTTGGGATCCCATTTCTTCCTTCAGCTGATAACTCCAACCTCTCAGCTGACGGGGATGACTCCTTTATCAGCGTGGACTCAGCCATGCCCAGTCCATTCAGTGAGGTCAGACTCCTTCAGCCGGCCTTTGTCACAGCAATAGCCACTGTGGCTGACCATGTGGGAGCATCTCCTGGCTGGGTGGTAGAAGGGGGCTGAGCAGGAGACCCTTCAGAAGGAAACCCAGTGAGAGCAGGCCTGCTTTTCAGAAGCCAGACAAGGGCTGCGTCTCAGCAGCAAGCCAGGAAAGGGAACACAGGGTATGTTTTACAAAACAGGGTCTCCTCCAGGTACAGGGCTGTAACTGCACACTTTTGTCAGTCATCATAACCCCAGCCCTTCTTCCTCTTCTAGATTTCCATCAGCAGTGAGCTGCATACTGGCTCCATTCCTCCTGATGAGAGCAGCAGTGACATGCTGGTCATTGTGGATGACCCAGCCTCCTCAGCCCCACAGTCCCGAGCCACCAACTCACCTGCTTCCATAACAGGCTCTGTCTCAGACACCGTGAATGGTAGGTGATGCTGCCATGCATAGTTGGGTTGCCCTGTAGCCTCAGGAAACACCTTGATTAGCTCAGTGTGCTGGGTGATGTACTGATTCTTCCTAGGGTGACAGTTTGTTTTTTGGTTTTGGTCTTTTTTAGATTTATTTGTTTTACTTGAAAGAGAATTACAAAGAGACACACAGAAGAAATCTTCCATCTGCTGGCTACAATGGCCAGAGATAAACCAATCCATAGCCAGGAGCTTCTTTTGAGTGGGCCATTAAGATACAGAGTCCAAAGGTCTTGAACTATCCTCCACTGCTTTGCCAAGCACATTAGGGAGCTGGATCAGAAGTATGGCAGCCAGGACTCAAACCAGTGCCCATATGGGATGCTAGTGCTGCAGGGTTACCCTGCTTCGCTACCATACCAGCCCCATTTTCTTCTTTCTTTAACGAAGAATGGAATAGGGCAAAAAGATTTTTGACAGGCTCATTTTCTGATAACTTCTCATGTAAAAATATTTAAGGGTAGGGGTGGAGTTGTGGCATAAGAAGTAAAGCTACGGGCCCCGGCTTGAAACTAGGAAACCCAGGAAAACGTCCTAATGTCTAACTTCAAATCGGCCCCACCTATAGCTATTGCAGCCATTTCAGGTGTGACCCTATAGATGGAAGATCTCTCTCTTTTTCTCTCTCTGGGCAATTCTGACTTTCAAGTAAATAAATAAAAAAAGAAATAATGTAAGGAAAAATAAAGTATGTTGTATAGTCACCCTTGTCTTTCACATTTCACTTTAATTTTTGTTAGCTTTTGATTCAAGTTATTTTTTCTGGCCCTTCTCTCACTTTGTTGTGGGCCTGGTATTGCTGTTATTTCACAGGGAAACCCCTGAGTTATTGTTTTTGTTATATTTGTTCATTTGGAAGGCAGAGTGGCGGAGAAGGGGAAGAAAACCTTCCATCCTCTGGTTTAAATGGACTTTTGGACCTCCCCAGAGTCTGGAGCAAACACCCATAGAACCCGCTTTCCCCATCAAGGGAAGACTAGTCACATTTTGAAGAGTTTTCATTCCCCATCTCTCCTTGGTCCATTTGTTTCCACAGGAATTTCCATTCAGGAAATGCCAGCTGCAGGACGCGGTCACTCAGCCCGAAGCCGAGGCCGCCCCAAAGGTTCCGGAAGCACAGCCAAAGGAGCAGGGAAAGGCCGAAGCCGGAAGTCCACTGCAGGCAGTGCTGCCGCCATGGCAGGAGCTAAGGCTGGGGCTGCGGCGGCATCCGCAGCTGCCTATGCTGCATACGGGTATAATGTGTCTAAAGGTGCGGAGACCACAGGCAGTTGACAAAGTCTGTTGAGCATTCTGCCACATGGAATATGTGGGGCACCTCCGGGCCAGGACCCTTCCCCAGCACCCAAGTTTAGAGTTCTGTAGTCTGGACTTTCCTCGGTCCTTGTGGCTTGGTGCCACTTTGGATATATAGGTAGCTGTGAAAATGGAGAGCTTAACTGAACTGTGGACTATATTGCTTTGAATATTCAGAATTGTTGCTTATTTGAGAACCTAGATTGTTTCCTGGAAACTACATTTCTGTAATCCAGACTGGCATAGTTAACCTTCACTCAACTAGTCATCTGTCCCCCTAGGTATTAGGCACGTGCTGTGTGCACAGCATATGGGCCCTGCACTTGATGTATACTAGAAGTGAGAAAGGGAAGCCATGCATGAAATATGTTTGCTAGACAGCAGGATAAAGAGAAGTGGGAAGAGGGGAGGCTTAATTGTGGTTGTGGGTCAGAAGGAAGAGGAAATGTGGACCTGCTGATTGGGATGCCAGGCTGTAATTCTGGAAGGAAGACAAGGTTTACGCAGGATTTGTACGGACAACAGAGCGCCAGTAGGACAGGGCATCACTGAGCAGATGAGCCAGGTTAAGCTGAAAAGAGGAGTACTGGGAGTCAGGGTTGGAAGGTCACAGTGAGGCCTGCAGGACAAGAGTCTAGCAGTACATAACAAGGAGCTTTGACCGTTTGAGAAATGAAGTGGCTGCTGTGACCATAATATGAAGAGGATGGTTGTGGCATGAGATGCAGCACAGCTGAGCCTGGGAAGGAGGGAGACCCTATTCAGAGCAGACTACCTCCCTATTAGCAAGATTGTGACGATCTTGAGTGGAAAGTGCTTGGGCTGGAGGAAGTGCCCTGTAATTGTTACTTCACCTCCCCTTGCTCCTGCAATGGGACATTCCACTTTCCCTTGCTGGTTTATTCAGGAAATACAAAATATAAAAGCCTATTCCAGTGTTTTTTAACCCATTGCCAGTTCATATCCTTGACAAGCAAGGCATGAGACAGAGCACACCTTGGTAGGGAAGACCAGGAGGGTAGGGCGGCACAAGGAACATCCACAGTGCTTGGTAACTAAGAATGGAAAAAGAAGATAAAGGATTGATGCAGAAATGTGTAGAACTGGAGGGAGACCTGTGTACCCATCAGGCACTCAGAACAATGTAGGGCAGGAAAAGCAACACAGAAAGCAGTAAGAAGTCAAACCAGACAGCACGCTGGCATATACAAGTGGGTTTGGCTCACGCCAGAGAGCCATCCCCTAGGACAAGGGTAGGACAAGAGCCTTGAGCTGGCTCCTGACAATGGCAGGGCTTGGAGAGCTGTGATGGCCCTGGCCAGTGCACAGAAAGCAGCGTGTGGATTGGCAGGATAGAGGGGAAGCAGCCTGCTCGCTAGGGAGAAGCGGATTGAGGGAATAGCAGTTCATCCTAAGGCATCTCCTAAGCAAGAAGAGACAAGAAGGGGGCTTAGTGCAGTGCAGCCCCCATCTCCCAGATTGTGCATCGTATATTCTGTACACAGCATCACAACAACATTTCCTTCTTGTGAAAAGGTCCTGTGGGGAGAGGTAGATGTCCTTTTCTCTTAAAACCCATCCTTCTCGATGAAGACTGTTGACCGGAAGAGCGAGCAAATGTGGGGCTGGGTAGGAGTAGCTAGAGAGATTGCCCAACTTGTCTCCTCCAACCTTGATTCAGGGAGCCACCTCAGCAGGCGGCAGGGCAACCCTTGCAGAACTGGCACTTACCCTCATGTCTCCTTCTGCATCCCCACAGGAATCTCCGCTAGTAGTCCTCTACAGACGTCACTTGTTCGACCTGCTGGTCTTACTGACTTTGGACCTTCAAGCGCCTCTTCTCCTTTGAGTTCCCCTTTGAGTAAAGGGAACAATGTACCTGGGACTCCTAAGAGCCTGCACGTGACCAGCAGCCTGGCCTCGGACTCCTTGGTCCGGAAACAGGCCAAGGGCACCAACTCCTCTGGAGGACGGTAACTGCCTCCGGCTTCCAGCTTCCTTCAGCCTAATCCAGGGTGGGAGCCCTTGTCTGCACACTTGCCCCAGGCGGCATCTCACATCTCTCATCAAAGGGTGGAGGTGACCAGTTGCAACAGGGGAAAGATGGGCAGGTGGGCAGGTGGGAGTATTTTTATCACCTGTCTCAAAAGGAATGTTGTGGGGCAGCCTATGGGAAGAAGGGACAGGAATTAGTCTGCCAGGCCTCCAGAATCTCACTTGACCCCTGAAGCCGAGTCTTAAGCCTCTTACTGGGGAAGGGTCTAGACAGACCCCCTGTAGATGCTCAGGCACATTGTCTCCATCCCCATTCCACTTTCTGGCTCTGACCATGTTCCTCGTGAAGACTGTACAGGTACTGTGTACAGGTACCTGCAGTCGAGGGAGGAGACTGACCTTAAGGTTGTAGAGCCATGGAGGGAGGACCATGTGTAGCAGCTGCCCACAGTCTTTCCACACCACCCCAGGTCTCCAAATCACATTTGCCTCAGTGTCATTGTTGAAGAGAAGCAGTAAGTACTAGAGGAGGTGGTGGCTTCAAAGGATGATGGAGAACTGAGGAGACAGCAACAGGCAGGTGTTTTTCTCATGTTTCCTCCCCCATCCTGGGTGGTTCACGCCATAGAACCTTCAGGTCCCACCAGCAGCAACAACAGCTCACACCGGGATCTCTCACAAGTCAGTGGAGAGACTAGGAGCCGCCTCAGCAGGACAGCCCCCTTCCCTGTCGCAGGGTCCCTGTTGCCCATCCTGAATGCACAGTCTCCCCCTACTTGCCATTCAGCTCCCAGCTTGGCTGTATGCACTGTCTGTATTGCACTGAGAAAGGAAGGGACAGCAGGAGTGAGTCAGAGGGTAGAGAGAGGGCAAGCTCGGCGCCACCCTCCCAGCCCCAGCCCCGCCAGCCTGAGCTCACTGCCCTCCAAGAGAGGCAGAGGGGTCATGTCTGCATGGGAGGCAGTTCTGCCCCTCCGCCCACACCCCGCCTGATGTCCCTGGTGGAGCAGGTGCTTCTGCGCGGGCCAGCCTCTAATTTGCACACCTGAAAATCGCGGAATTGAATTTAGATAGATTGATTTTTAAAACTTTTTGGAGTGAGGGTTGTAGGGGAATCATTTAATTTAAATCATTAGGATTCCCCTGCCCCAGCCCAGACTCCTGTGTACAGATGCTATTTAGAGGGAATCAGAAAAATGCCAAGCCTTTTTTTCTCTTTGAATGTCTGTCTATTTTTATAACTGAACTTGTACATATGTATAAAGAGAGACACATCTTTCTTTTACTAACTGGATAAAAAAAATCTTAAATAAAATGGAGTGAGATAATTTTATGTAAATTGGGGTATCTGTGGTCTTTGTTCTTGGAAACAAAGTAAGGCTCTTGGCAGCAGTGGCAGAGTGAGAGGAAGCATCATTCTGTGGCCGCAGAAGATGGAGTTGGTAGGACTGCTACATGGACCATGAGAGTTTCTCACCCACAGTCTTTTTTAAGATTTATTTTATTTTTATTGGAAAGTCAGATATACAGAGAGAAGGAGAAACATAGAGGAAGATCTTCCATCTAATGATTCACTCTCCAAGTGGCCACAGCTGCTAGAGCTGCACCAGTCCGAAGCCAGGAGCCCAGAGCCTCTTCCAGGTCTCTTGTATGGGTGCAGGGTCCCAAGGCTTTGGGCTGTCCTTAACTTCTTTCCCAGGCCACAGCAGGGAGCTCAATGGAAAGCGGGGTCCCCGGGAGAACCGGTGCCCATACGGGATTGTCACATGTTCAAGGCAAGGACTTTAGCTGCTAGGCTACCGCACTGGGCCCTACCCACAGTCTTCATTAAACTTATATCTACATGTGGGCTCTTTTTTTCCCTTTGGTTTGGTGTTTACCTATTTGAGAAGGATGCATCCCTGTGTGGGAAACTGATTAGGGTAGGAAGGGTCAAAAATTAGGGGAAAGTAGATGTGACCATTGTTTTCAATTTTCTTTTCCTTTTTCCTGTATCTGGGGGAAGGAGAAAAAGGGGGAAGCTGTCCCCCACATCCTAACCGCATCAGTCCCTGGGGATGCAAAACAGCCACCCGGTGTCATCCCAGGGTGGAGCATGTTTCAAGGTTTCTGCTCAAGTGGTTTCCTTGCGCAGGGGCCATGCTAATCTTCTCTGTATCGTCCCAATTTTAGTATATGTGCTGCCGAAGCAAGCACTCAGGTGGCTTCAATAGTTCTGAAATGCTGTTGATGTCATTGCTCCAAAAATGAGGAGGTCGTGCCAAGGTCCATTGGCTGACACAATCTACCTTGGAGATAGTTGTTTTCAGTGCATGGCTGGAATAGTTGTCCAGTATGTTCTGCCCTCCATCCTCTGCTGTGATATTAGATTTTTTTTTAATTTCTGTTATCTTAAATATTGTTTACATAATTGAGAGGGATATACACCTTTTAGGTCTCTGATTAGGGTGGAGAAAGTCGAGGTATGGAGGAAGGTGAGTGGAACAAATGTAGTTTTGATAGTTCTGAGACGTTTGTTTTGTTACATCAGGGTTGAGAAAATCTTTCCAAGGTCTACTAGTTGGCCAAAGTCCACCTCAGTGCAACCCTATACCCAGGAACATGCTAAAGGGCTTGGCCAGAATTGTCCAACCTCTTCTGTTTACCATCCTCTAACGAGGCAGTCAACGACCCCTACTTGCCTAGATGAGTCGGCTGTCATAGCCCCCGCTTGCATCCAGCATGCTGTTCACTGCATTAGCAACTGAGGAGGCCCCGTCTCAATACGTGCATTCCGAGGTCAGACCACATAATTGTGTGGCGTGTTTTGGGGCTTTTTTGGTTTTTTTCCCTATGGCTGGGGTCTGAGTCCAGCAGCCCAGTTGTGGACTCCCCAGGAAACCTCACTGGGGTGACCTCAGACTTGACTTTTAGATACACCAGCCAGTACAGTGTCAGGTATGGTCTGTAACCAACATCAGCCAAGTCACATACATGCAGATGAATGCAGCTGGATGGTCCGTTCTGCCCCAGCCCCATATCTCACACCAGTGGGTGCTGTGGCCAAGCCCAGCCAGCCCACCACAGCATTGTCCTCACACATACCAACAGGTGCCAAGGCCTAATCAGGACAACCCCCAGTAATCCCCTCCAAGCCTACTCCCAGCTCCAGATGTTCCACATGCCAGCTTCTGCTGCACTTTAGCCCAGCCCAGCCCAACCCACATCCCATCCAGCTCTAGTGCACACCTATGGGTGCTGTGGCTTATCTCAGCCCACTCCTCTCCCAGACCCAGCCCTCATATGTGACAGCAAATGCCATTGCCTTGTCCAGCCTGGCCTGTCCCCAGTCCTGGTTCACATACTAGGGCTGATATCAGCAGCAGTAGGTATAGCCTAGCAGGGGTAGTGCCCAGAGTTCGCCTGCCATGCATGTCCCCAGCCCTAGATGTTGCACTTGCCACAAAGTACTGCAGTCAAGTCTTACATGACTCACACCAAGTCCTGACACTTCCTAGCTCGTTCCATGGCCTAGCCCAGCTGGCCTGCACCTATTCTGGTCCTAATACACACTAAAAGATGCAGCAACCCAGAAGGAGACTCCTGGAGGTTCCCCTACTAGGTGTGCTCCCAGCATTGGGTCTTACACATATCAGTGGGTACTGAAGCCAAGTCGGCATGCCTGCCCCTTGTCTCAGCATTTGGCAGTATTGGGGGGGGGGGGGGGGCGGGGCGGGCTCTTGATGACTCAGTATGGGCAGTTTGACCTATTCTACCAGCAGGCAGGTAGTATTCATCTGAATCCTGAAGTGGTTTTCAGAGTTCACTGTGCCTTTAGGAATCCTGGAAGGAAACTAGAAATGTGTTTCTGGGATTCCAGTGACACCCAGGCTCTGGAAACAGCTCAGTCAGCACTGGGAAAGAATGTGCCCAGGCCCTGGTCTGGACTGACAGCCAGCATCTCTGTGAGTGAGAACACACGGACTCCCTCTGATGTCACCCTTGAGAAGGCTCATGCCGTTCCCAAGTGTGCTAGCCATGTGGCCTCCCACCCCTTGGCTCACCCTGTGCACTGTTGATCAGAGTTGGCAGGCTCCAGACAGCTGCATCTCAGCTGGAGTCACAAGGATCAGCAGCTTCATCTTGCTGGTCTCCATAGCTCCATCAGATACTCTGGGCCTGCTTTTTCTAGCTGATAAACTCGATCGAGGCCTCTCACAGAAGAGACCAACATCGGTTTCCCAACTAAGTGCCCTGTGACCATCACCAGGGGGGTTGCTGTGACCTAGTGTGTCACCAGATCCACCAGTTCCCTGAGCAGGGACCTTGATGACATTCCCATGGGAGCCTTGCCAAGGTCAGCCATGGCCACCTCTCTGGAGACCTGACAGCTCTGAGAGCCTGGATCGGCTTCACCCCATGTGGTTAGGCGAGACTCCTGAAAAGGATCTGAGCTTTCCAAATCTTCTCTGTCTTCAGCATAGTGCAGTTCCCTGAACCCATTTTCAGTCCAGTCCCTTGAAGAAACAGCTGAGACATGCCCAATAGGAATAAATCAGTCAAACAAAAAAAAACCTGTCAATTCATGATACTTCCCTTTTGTGAGTGTCCTGGGTAGCACAGTGGGCCTGGGGCCACTGTGCTACCCAGATTTGTGACTTACTGCTGTCCCTCTCCTGTGTGCCCTCCAAAGACCCAACTGTCTCTGCTGTCACTAGAATGACCCTGTTCCCTTGCAATGTGTCCCCTTGTGCTTTCCCCACCTCCTTGGTGTCAGTCGGCATTCTCCTGGTGCTAAGTTCTTCTGGGGGCGTAGGTGGACGGGATGGAGAAGTTGGGTAACTCCATTGCCTTCTGTAGCTGCTGGGGAGTGCAGCTTCTGCGGTCAGTCTGGCTGCCCACCTCAACCACCTTCATGAATCACACTCAAGCCGCTGAGGTAAGAAGGCTGATCCTGTTCTGACATCATCAAGCTTCGTGTACCCAGATCCAAGTTGTATAGCAGCAAATGATGTTACAGAAGGTGTCTGATTGGGGGTTAGGGGAGAGCCTGAGAACTTGGGGTGACCAGAGCTTGGACTGTTTCATCCCTCGTAGGAATAACAACCCAGCCACACCCAGTTTGCCATCCAGAAAGTGCTGTGGAGTTTCCAGTCCTGAGTGATGGTCACTCCAAGCCCTCCCCCACTCCCCTGGGACCAATGTAAGAGGACGTGCCTAAGGCTGCTTCCTGGTTGTCCAGGGACCCTCAGGAAACTGGGAGCCTCCTTTATGGCCAAGGCCTGGCCTGTCTGCTCAGTTCTAATCTGCTTCAGATCAGGGGGCTTCCCGCCACCACCCACTCTCATCCCAGCTTCCCCCTCACGCTGGCTGCTGGGAGTCTTGCCCTTATTTCTCTCCTAGCAGCAGCCAGAAAGGAGCATAGTGTCTTGCTGGGAGTGGGTAGTTTGCTCAAGCATACGGGATGTGGGGAGTTCCAGTGTTCCAGAGTTCAACCTGAGTCCCTTGCCTGCCGCTCCTCACCCCCTGGGGG